AAAAATAATATCTTTTATATGATAGAAGTACATGTCTAATTAATAAATACAAACAAAAACATAATTTTGACTTTAAAAATAAAATCCTTAGTTGGCGGAACATAAATTTCAGTTACAAAAACCATATCAAATGTGCCACTATTATATAGTTCATATTTTTTCAGTTATCAAAATATTTTCAACTAATCATGTTTTTGATTTGTTAGTATTTACACTAATTAATTAATAGACTTTTTGTATGTGCTTATAAATAAAACAAAAATCAGACACATTTTCACCTTGCATTTCCACACTCATAATCGCAGTCACCGAAAAAACCTATTTCGACATAAAATATTTCTTTTGAGTTCCAAATGGCAGTGCAATTTGATAATATGATTTTCTTGGCTAAGAACAAGAAAAAAAAACTGCAATATAGCGATTGATTCGATTTTAGTTAAAGAAATTTCCGGCAAACAAAGAAGTAACTACTGGGCCAAGTTTGTTTTTCATGATGTAAGACATGTATAAATTAAAAGCATGTCTAGGACGGCTAAACAAAATCAGAATCGATCCAAGTATTTGTCTCCGGTTAGAGAAAAAAAAATTAAAAGTGAAGAAGAAACGACGAAAATATTGCAGGTGGTAGGGTTTTATTGAATGTTCTATCATTTTATTGAATGTTCTACATTTGTGTGGTGGATGAAACTTTGAGCGTGCTATATGGGTCCGTGCATTTGGGTTATGTTTAATTTGGCCCAGTTTTGGGTCTGAAAAGAAAAAAAAACATCAGCCTTCATACTACTTGGATTCAAACGGAATCAAGTTTATTTGACCCATTTTTTTTATTTGGCTACATCAAGAAATCAGACTGGGCTTCGAAAAATTATGGACGTTGTATATAAAGAAGTGTTTAATTATATTTGATTTTTCTTTCTTAAAACATTTTTTTCATGATTATGTTATGATTTTTACTATCCTATTATTTTATTTTTTATCATATATTTTTTCGTGCAAATGCACGGGTAACAACTAATGTTTGATGAGTGTTAGGAAATTTCTTCAAGGGGGTGCTAGGTTTAGAGTGGGTGATGGGTTGTCTGTTTCTATTTGGAATTCTCCCTGGATTCCTGATTGTCACAACTTTAAACCTGTGTGTTCCTTTGTTGATGATAGGACGAGGTTGAGTAAGGTGAGTGATTTAATGAGAGTGGGTAGTAGGGTGTGGGATGTGGATTTGATTGATCAAACTTTTCCTCCTGTTGTTGCAGAGGCAATTTTAAATATTCCACTTTCAGCCTCTATTGGGGCTGATAAGTTGATCTGGCATTGGCATCCTAAAGGCCACTTTTCAGTTAAAGAAGTTTACAAGTTTATTATGAAGGAGAAATTCAACCCTCAAGAGGTGGCAAGTTCTAGCATGGATCCAGCTCTCATGGCAAAGATGTGGAGAACAACCTGGAACTTGAACATAAAGCAGAAAATTAAAACCTTCATGTGGAGATGCTGGTTTGGGCATTTGAGTACATCTGATCAACTCCTGAGGAGAGGTATGTGTGTTGACCCCATCTGTGCAATATGTGGGGAAATTGAGGAGGATATGAATCATGTTCTGTTCAACTGCAAAAGAGCTAGGAACTGCTGGAAAATGTGTGGTCTTCATTGGGGTAATTTGAGTACAGAAATGGTGATTTTTCAAAATTGGTGGTTTAATACTTGTTGTGCTAAACATATGATGATGAAAGAAGAGAGGTTAGGATTATCTGCTTTCTTGATGTGGCACTTGTGGAAGGCTAGAAATAAATGGCTGTATAAGGGTGATTGGATCCATGATCTTCAGATTGTGGAGGAGGCCAAGCATGAGTGGGTAGAATGGACATCAACTACTGCAGTCTTCCTGGGTACTTCTAAGGGGCAACCACATGAACAACCTCAGTTGGATGAGTTTTTCAAGGGGGTAGGTCAGTCATTTATGACTCTCAGTGCTTCAGCATTCACTGATGGTGAGGTTCTTGTGGACTGTTTCTTCTACCAACATGGAATTCAACAATATCAGTGGCAAGAAACTTTTCAAGCTGCTGTGCATGGGAGAGAAGGTTGGTTGATGGCAATTGCTTGGGGCCTAACTATGGCTAAGGATAACAGATGTAGTAATTTTGATTTGTTGTTGCATTCTGCTGATTTGGTGGCCTATTTGTCTGATAGCCTTATGTCTCAAGTAGGTTTATGCTCAGATTCTGCTTGTATTAAGGAATTGATGGATTATTGTAATGTCTCTATTGGTATTTCCTTTTAATTGTTCGTGTCTTGTTTTTTCTCTTTGGAGGCTTGTTGCCTTTTAGGTCTAGGTCTTCCTAGGTCGTGCTGGGAAGGTCTGATTATGTTGGGCTTGTAAGGTTGTAGCCATTTGGTTACCGGAACTTTGTTTTGAGTTTTATGAAGTTTGCTTATTTGTCTTGGAAAAAAAAAACAACTAATGTAT